ACACGGATCCTTACCACTAAGCTACCAGAGCTCCCTCACATAATAAAGATGGACAATCTCCTCATGTATGATTTACTACCTCTGCAAATCTACAGGAGGATAAGCTATGGATTGGTTCTGACTTCATGGTATACAGCAATAAGAATTGTTGTTATGTGCCATCCAGTTGCTTGCGACTCTTAGTGACCCTATGTACAACAGCCCTAAATCGTGCTCTATCCTATGTCAACCTGTCTCTGACACACCTACTCCCATTACTGCAATCACTGAATTGATCCATTTCATCGAGGGTCTTCCTCTCCTGCGCTGTGCCTCCACCCTCCCAAACCTGATGTCCCTCTCCAAGGACTGGTCCCTCCTTGCAACATGTCCAAAGTATGTCAGATGAAGCTTCAGAATCCTTACCTCCAAGGAGCAGCCCAATTTCACCCTCTCCAGGACAAACTTGTTTGTTCTCCTAGCAGTCCATGGTATATCCAACATTCTTATCCTATACCACAGCTCAAAGGCATCAATTCTCTATCATCTATAGTTGGTGTCTAGCTCTCCAACACATAGTAGGTAGGCACTTGCGAAGATTAGTGCCCAGATCAGGCACACCTTGGTCTCCAGCCTGACATCATTGCTCATTGCTCTTCAGTACTCTGGAGAGGTCCCTGACAGCTGAATTTCCCAATGTAATTAGTGTCTTGATTTCTTGCCTGCTGGTACAAAAAGTATTGACTGTGGAACCAAGTAAACTAAAACTGTTAACTATCTCAATCTCTTCACCATTCATGATGATGCTGCCAATTGGCCCAGTGGTGAGAATCTTTTTTTTTTTCTTATGCTGAGCTTCAATCCATATTGAAGGCTGCATTCCTTGACCTTCTGCAATAAGTACCTCAGATCCTCCTCAGTTTTCAGCAAGCAGGGATGTGTCATCTGCATAACACAGGTTGCTGATGAATCTTCCACCAATCCTGATTCCATATTCCTTCTTGTACAGCCCAGCATCCTGGATGATCTGTTATGCATACATATTGAAAAGGTATGGAGACAGAACACATCCCTCGTGTATACTCTTCCTGATTCTAAACCATGCAGTGTCTCCTTGCTCTCTTCTGACAACTGCCTCTTGGTTCAAGTATAGGTTTCACATAAGCACAATCAAATGTTCTAGAGTCACTGTACCAGAAGGAATTGGCTGACACAGAAGAATTTAATGAAATAACTTATGAGCAAGAGCCTGTGGGATGAAGGAGGAAGTTCAAGTTGCTCTGAAAGAATTGGCAAAAAACAAGACTCCAGGAGTTGATGGCATACCAATTCACATATTTCAACAAGCAGACGCTGCCCTGAATGTGCTAAGTTGTGCCAAGAAATCTGGAGGACAACCACCTGGCCAACTGACTGTAAGAGATTGATATATGTTCCCATTCCAAAGAAAGGTGACCTGACAGATTGCAGAAATTATTGAACAATATCATTAATATCACATGCAAGCAAGATTCTGCTGAAAATTATCCAAAAACAACTAGAGCAACAAGTCAAAAGAGAGCTGCCAGATGTGCAGGCTGGGTTTAGAAGAGGCTGTAGTACAAGGGATATTATAGCTAATGTTAGATGGATCTTGGCAAAAAGCAGAGAGTACCAGAGGAATGTCTATCTGTACTTCATTGACTATGCAAAGGCTTTTGACTGTGTGGATCACAACAAGCTATGGCTGACTCTGAGAAGAATGGGAATTCCAGAACATTTGATTGTGCTTATGTGAAACTTATACCCAGAATCATTAGCAATTATTATTTTAAAACATCCTTTGCAATCAGAGGCTAATCAACATCTCCAAGAAAATGCTTTCCAGTTGTTTCAGACAAACTCAACATGGTATGCCTAATTAAGTCACTGTGGAGTAGCCTGAGAAGGGGCAAATGGGTGTGGCCAAGAGGACCCTCCAGTGGGAAGGTAGGTGGATAAGGCCTAAGTGTTTCTCAAGGTTCCTTACCTGAGAGACAAGATGATACTACAGGATGAAGGGTCTCCTGTAACCCCATCTTGACCTCTCAGCTGAACTCAGATCGGGCAGTCCCAGTAAACACAGCAGTTGCTGACTGAGTGGCTCACTGCCAGCATGCCCCAGGAAGTGCAGCAGGGGAAGGAAGGCTTGTGACTGCTCAGAGGGTGTGTGTGTGTGTGAGGCTTTAGGAAACTGATGAAAGATGTGAAAAGGAGCTCTAACACTGGGGTTGGAGATGTCTGAATTTTAGGTGAAGCACTCTCTTTATGTCTAAAAGAGGGAGGTTGAGGAAGCAAGAATAGAAATACTCTATCAAAATCACTCGCAGCTGGATCAAGCCAGCACTAGAGATACTATACTGGAAACATTCGTTGATGGATATTTTGCCTGATAGCTCTGAAATTATTTCAAAAGAACAACTTAACCCAAGTGGGGCATCCAGGTAGCAGGCTTGAGAACAGATGGTGGAGAAGGAAGCTGCTGACTGATCACACAAACTGAACAAACAGTATTTTGGATCCCTTGCGGAGTTACCATGAATGGATTTTGCAAAAGGACACAGGAGATATGCTTTATTCTTCGTGGTTTAATGCCAGCTTGAAGAACCACACCAAGCAGCTCCTCAACCCCAGAGCAGTAGAAGATCTTAAGCCATAGGTTAGTTGCGAAGGCCCAAAAGTCTTCAAAACATTATGATCTTTCACTTATCTAGAAGTCTGTTGATTAGAACTGCAAAGACTTATACTACAGCTCTGGGCCCACCCTTACAAAGCATGATACTTAAGCAACCTAATAACTCATTAGCCCAGAAACTCATTAATTTTATTGAGTCCTTCCCCCACTACTTATTTATAAATTATTGCAATATTCACACTGCTAATAGTGGAGGCAATAGCTGAAATAAACGGTTTATGTCACAAATGTATTAGAATCCATTTAATCACAGAGGATGGGTAGCGAAATTATGTAGGTGAGAGTGACTTAGAACTGCTAATCCTCAAAAAGCCATTGCTGATGACTAGTTCCATCTTGTAATAACCTTTGATCAGGTTTCTGAGGCTATAAATCTTTACAGAAGAAGGCTGTTCATCTTTCTCTTGCAGAGCAGCTGGTGGATTCAAACTGCTGGCCTTCTAGTTCACAGTGTAACACGTAATGTACCAGGTCATGAGAGCTCCTTATGAAATAAATGCTCAACTAATCTAACAGGAAGATCCAATCTCCTCTTTTCATTAAAATTTTTTAACCTGAGATAAAGCCTAACACCAGCAGACTGTTAGTTGCAGCCTGATGGGCCTCAGGGGCTCTGTAATTCCTGTACTGTAAGCAGTTAAGAGTGAGGCTATGCTACGTTATGTCCAATCAATGTCAGAAGTGTATGTCCCTTCTAGGAGTGGCAATTAATGAGAGAGTATCTCTTTCATCTTCCTCTTCCCTTACTATGGCAATCTTCAGAAAACGCAAACTCATTGCCTTCGAGACTGAACTGACTTACAGCTGACCCTCTAGTGGGTTTTCAGAGGCTGTAAATTATGATAGGAGATTAAGGATTTCCAGTTGGTGGATTTGAACCACTTTTCTTTGGGTTGGCAGCACAACTCCCTATACTCTAGGTTACCAGAGCTCTCTATTGCAACTTTAGGAAATGCATTTTGTAAGACAGAAGAGGGTCATCAGAACTTGTACTATACTTGTGTAAATGAGAAGTAAACATTTATTATGTTTAGCCACTGAGAGTTCAAGGATTACTCTTCTATAGCAATGCTTAGCAGTCACCACCCAGACTCAAAACACAAGTTCTGATTTAAGAGAGGAAGATAATTTCAGGGATATTGAAAAGATTATGCCAACATTCTCCTTTCCAGAATTTGCTTTAAGTCAAGAGTGTTATACATTTTTCTCCAGGGTTTAATTTTGACTAAAAATCTAATCTAATGGGGAATTGCATGAATCTTCAGACAAAACAATTTCATTTGCTAAAAAAACTTATTTATTTCCAGCCAGATAACATTTTCCAACTACATATATGGTTACATATTGTAAGCGCCTTCTTTGAAAAATGTACATGTTCCAACTTCCAATTCTAATTATTAATGTCTATACCAAGCAAACATCATTTTCTCTTAAAGTATAACTTAAATACACTGCTGACATAGAAACCATGACATGAGTGGTATCTAGTACTTCACTTTGAGTCCAGAGCAACATCGACACATTTTCCCACGATAAAATTCCACAAGTCAGCAGGCAGCAAGCGCCTCTGGTTCTGCTTGTTGTGTGGAGCATTGCTTCAGAGGAGTGACTTCCTTCTGTGAAAAAAGAGTTACGTGCAGGCAAAGAAGTATCAGGAATATAACGTGGAAAGGCATTTCACAGAATGCAAACAATATCCAGGTAAACTAATGGACTCTAGAATGAAGTTCCATTAATGCAAATCTGTTGTTGATACAATGGGTATTCTGGCACCTTCTCATTGGGCATTCAATAAATTCTTATCAGCTGAAGGTAAGAATAATCAGTATCAATTGTCTTGGTATTTTAAATTTTCTTTTTTTTTTTTTAAATTGGGTTTTAAGTTTTGAAGTTCACTGAAGCCATATTTTTCCCTTCAGAGTAAACTAGCCTATTTTGGAAAGTTATTCATTCTTTTAAAACTATCTTTAAATTCTTCATTAACATTTAGAGACTTTTCTGCAGATGGCCAGTCTTACGGGTTCACTGGCTTCATGAAGAGCACAAAGTAGTCCATACACAAAGTCTTGATTTATTTCTTGAGGTGAAAAGCCTGTTTGGCTCAGAATTTTATTTCCCCTCAGTTCATTTCTCTTCCCTCCATTTTCTTGATTTTGTTGTTTGGCTCAGAATTTTTAACATTGAGTTTGTTCTTCATACTTTTTCTCCTTGAGGCTCTTGTTATTTTCTAGCTCCCCCCACAACCACCACCACCACACAGACTGAGCAAGATGCTTCTTGAAATGCCACCTCAATATCAACTATTTCCAGAGCCAGGATTCACTTGAGACTTGAAATAGTTGAAGCTCTGTCCTTCATGGAATTCTCTACCCGCTCCTTTTAGGGTCTTGCTCTAAGGCTGATTGAGGCTGGAGACTTCCCCACAGGGAAATTCCTGGAAAAATCTTGATTCTCATAGCATCTCTCGTTCTCCCCATGGCTATGGCTGCAGTTCTGGAGACACATAGGAAAAGTCTCTAAACTCATCCTGGTTAATCATAGGAAGATGCCCCTCGTCAATGGGGGTTAAAACTGGCTCTTCTTTTATGAAGTCAGGGTCAAAATTGCTGACATCTTCTCGGGATTTCTGTCAGAAAGGAAACAAGGGTCAGATTTTATGCACTTGAGACTTCCTCATTCTCATGGGTCTGAGCCCATGCCGGTGACTTCAGAGAGCTGCTCTGTAGCTCCAGCAGCAGCATTATTAAGATAACAATGATTAAACAGTACTTTATAGCAAGTCCATGGCATTGTGTATTATTAAGGCATTTGGTAACTGCCAATTCACTAACCCCATGAAAATCTCACTGAGTAGGCCAGCCCGACACTGGGAGGGTAAGGAATTAGCTGGCCATCTGAACCAGCTGGGCCCCTCACACTTGATTCTCCATTCGCCAACATTCTCTTTCTCAAATGTCCTTACTGAGGGGCCCTGGAGCTCATATTTCTCCACAGAGATTGAGGAAATCACAATTGCCCTACCTATTGTTTGTTTAAAGAGATTTTTCTCTGAGAAACGTCAAGAAATGCTGAGTGTGGGGGAAAAGCGCCTCTCACTTTTCTCTCGGATGCATTAAGCCCTGCTGGGTCAGCCAGGCAGTCCACACTACAGACCCAGCCTCTGAAATCCAAGTGCTCCCTAAACCCAGAGGAGCATCTGGGGATGTCCATTAAGGGAGGCAGTGTCGCCTCTGGCTGCCCAGTGTGCGCTAGCTAAGCAGGCTGTTACAGAGAAAGCCAACTGGAGGTCTTGAGAGGACTCCCTGGCTGCAAACCAAAACACTGCAGGTTTAAGTCCATCTAGAGGCACTTCAGCAGCAAGCCCTGGTGATCACTTTAAAAAAAAAGAAAAGAAATCAGCCACTGAAAACCCCATGGAGTCTATACTGACACACATGGAGTTACCAGGTACTGGATCAATCTTGTGCTTATCTGTTACTGACTGTGGTGGGAAAGGTTGTGTGTTTCATATCATTATAAACTAACATTGCTGCTGTGTGCCACTGAGCTGGAGCTGACTCACTGCTGACCCTCCAATGGGTTTTCAGAGGCAGTGAATCACACAGAAGGCAACTGCCCATCCTCCTTCAGAGCAGCTGGTAGATTCGAAGTGCCCTTGGGATTGCAGCACAGCTTCTTACCACTAGGCCAGCAGAGCTCTATAACACTGAATAGTGTCATTCCAACCATTGTTAAATTATCATTTCTCTTGCTAGAGTCAGTGTTTTCTTCGCCTTTAGATACACCTAATAAATCTCCACTCACTTCTAGGCCTGGCTTCACTACCTTCTCACTATGGGCTACGTGATTCACAGAGTTCAGCTTCTAGAAAGTGAGCTGGACCTAAATGAGGAATACCATTCCCCCCAGCTGCACAGCTCAGGGAGGTACCCCTGTTTCTTTCAGTGGTCTTCCAGATATAGCAGGTGTGGTCTGTTCTGGCCTTGAGCTATGAGCTGCAGTAGCTATTACAGATTTGGCCCCTCTGAATCAGAAGCCTTGGTCCACAGAAGTCAGTTTACATTTCATATCCTTTTCTACTTTCTTGGGACTTTTGGAAAGGCATAATAGACACTGGGAGAGGTTTGAGCAAAGTAGGTTAGGAACAATGGATTTTTCAGTTGTCAAATTTTTCTGGAGAAAACTGGAAATGTTCTGTCCCTTCAGGAACTTGGAAGGTTCTGAATGAGGTTAAAGGAGGATGGGGTCAGGGCTAGTGAGAAATGAAAATCCATGAGAAGTAAACGAAGCACATGGATGAATGTTGCCTCAGGGGTAAGGAACTGGCTTCTTCCAGGATGAGGCTGCCAAATACAGCATCGAATTGGGCTTCTGATCTGGCCATTCTTTTTGTTTTGCCTGATAGGCTTTTGACATGTAGAGAAAGAACAAAGTTGGTTGAATGTTATAGCCTTAGGCACTTACGATTCTGGGTCTGAAAGGTGGTTCTAGTTGACGATGGTTCAGCTGGGCCCAGTCAATTTCCTTAAAGAAAGGATGTCTCAAGATGGCGTGCTCACCTCCCTGAGACAAGCTGCCCAAACGCATGGTGGGGTTCTTAGTCATGAACTGAGAGAGAGAAAGAGAGAGAGAGAGACAGAGAGAAAACATCATTCATTTTCATACACCAAGTCTGTCACAAGATAGTTGGCATCCACTATGACAGAGGAGCCTGTGGGCAGCTCTCTCTGGCTGATCTTGTTTAACCAATTGAATTTTCCATTATGGACAACACAGCCAGTATGAATCATCCCTAAAGATGCAATTGCTTGTGTGTATTTATGACCTTCCCCACTTCCATTTCAGACATGGCTACTAAAAGAAAGCTGAACAGTCCAGTTCTCTTTTCCATAAACACCATGTATTTTTCTTTCCTCTTTAAAGAAAAGGAGGTCTTTATAAAATAGTCTGCCTTTCTCCAACACTGCAGTTGTAGACAGCAGGGATCTTATGAATAGCACTACTTTTAGGTTCAGCTGTGCTATTTTTCTGAGAGACCTGGCCAGTCAGCCAGTAGTCTTACTTTTTGAGAAGACCAGAGAGAAAATACTGGGGCATATTGAAGATCTGTGTCAAGAAGCATAAAATGGCAAGCAAAACAAGACAAAGCTTAAAGAAAGATGGGTTTTTTTGTGTTTTTTTTTAAATTGGTTTGATGAGTATAAATCTGTTCTCACATGAATTACATGAAATGTTCTGTCACACAGCTCAAGTTACGTGCATGTATAAATCCTCGGCATTTATATCAATTCAGAAACATCCTTGGAGATTAGCTTGCATCAAGAGTTTTGAGCTTACTATATTTTCAAAATAATAGCCAATAGGGAGATTGTGATTACTTGCTGGACAAGGCCTTGGCAACCAAACTCACTGCCATTCAGTTGATTCCAGCACCTCATGATTGAGTTTCTCAAGCTGTACATCTCAACAAGAGGTTACTGTCTATCCACTCCCAGGGCTGGTGGCTGGTGGGTAGGAACAGCCCAAGACATGCAGCCTTCAGGTTAGCAGCGCAAAAAATATGGGCTAATAAAGGAACGTGTGACACATACACCCTCCCCCTGCCACCTCACCAGGTACATGAATGAAACACAATGTATATGGATAATTACAAGTATAACAATAAAGGAAAAAAGCTATGGATTATGCCAACATAGCTCCTAGAACAAGGACTGTTGTTGTTGTGTACTGTAGAGGTGAAAGTGACCCATAGATGACCCTCCAGCAGGTCTTCAGAGGCAGTGAATCACACAGAGGGAGATTGCCCATCCTTTTCATATGGAGCAGCTGGTGGCCTCGAACTGTGTGCCTTCGGGGCTGCAGTGCAGCTTCCTGCCACTAGGCCACCAGAGCTAGAACACGGACTAGTGCAAGGCAATTTACTGTTCCTGTCAGAACCCAATTCTCAATTTTAAAGACATGTAAGCAAATTTAATTTCCCATGCTCAAAAGCAAATTATCTTGGCTAAAAAGTGTGGTGGTGGCTTTCTATTGAAATGAAGATGTCTAAAAGCAGACCTAGGCAATGTGAGGAAAGGCAACAGCCCTTTTCGTGCTTGGTTTAAAAGTATAAGACAAACATGATGTATTTATAAAGACTGATGGGGGATGGGGTGGTGGGGAAAAGACTGACTTGGAGCTGAATTTAGAGAGTAAATAAAAGAGGAATTGTGTTGATGGTGTGCACATGAGAAGCAGTGTGGGAGGTGGTCACCTCTGCCACATCAAGTGTCTAAAGCTGTAATGTCACCAGTGCTGCTTCAAAGGAAAATAATAAAAAAGAGAGAGGAAGTGTCAAGGTTACAAAGCAAAATTGCAAGGCGACAGCTCTTACAATTCTGTAAAAGAATTTGTTTAGTATGACAACAATCTGGAACAAGAAGTGCATGGCAAAATGGACTACGGGAGGGGGGAAAAGGGGAGGGAGGGAAAGATGGAACAGCGAGTGAATGAAAACCTAACCTTTCTGTAAACTTCTTTTTTCTGTACATTTTCATCAAAATCACAATTAAAAAATTAAAAAAAATTATTTTCAAGAATGAATTTGAAAAAGGAAGATACTGATGGAATTTAAAGTTTTTTCTCACCCCCGAAACAAAGAATTAAAAGCCACAGGTAGGGCTGGACTGGAGGTAGAATCCAAAAGAGAATTCTGAGCTGTGCAGCTCCAATCAGAGAAATAACCACGCCAGGCGCTTAAAGTTGTCAGTGTGGAGTCAGTGAATACATAGACTTGGTCTCTCCCTAGGTAAGTCTGTGCAATTCAGAAAGGAAGGAAAGGATACCTCCATTAAAGAAGGAAGTAAAAACTTCCTTCAGAAAAGTCAATGGGCTCCAGGCCCTCAGGGTTAGCAGCTTCTATTCTAAGAGCCAATTACTCGAGAAAACAATGCTACAAAAAGAACTTGGGATACAAGGACAGAAGAACAGACCCATATGGCTTGTGGGAAAGTCCCAGACCTGCCAATGATGCGAGCAGGGGACATCTTGTGGCTGTGTGGGCACAACTTGTTCTGCGCAAGTGGCACGGTACAAGGTGCTACCTTGCCAGGGTGGTGGGAACTTGGGTGTCTGAGAGACGCTGCCCATTCTTCTCCGGCCCTGGCACTGAATCCAAGCTTCCACAATTGTCAGCACAATTTGGCCCCAGTGAAAAGCAGACCAAACTGGGCTGACCCTCCTCTGAAAACCGCACGCCTTAAATTCGAGACAGGCAGAATATACATTTCTTTAGCTTGGTTATTTCTCAGCTCCCTCTTAGAGAGCTGAGACTTTTTTTAAAAAAATATATATATAATGAATGCATTTTGCTTTGACTTTTTTTCTCTTGGCTTGAGCCCTTTTAGACACAATGATGCTCCATCAAACAACCCCACCCAAACCTCTTCAATTTACAATAGTTTGTGCGATGTTTAGAGCACGCAAAGATGTGGGAAAATTCACTGAGGATAAAGCATGTCTTCCATGATGAAACTGATTATCTAGAAGGGAGACAATCTGCAAACATGACTTGCAACATAAAACTGTAGAAAATGGAGAGAGACTGACAAAATGCTGTGGCAGTTTAAAAGACAGAATGGCAGCGTATGTGTGTATATGTTCTGCAAACATGTTCACACATGAACTTGGGGTTGGTGACCAGAATGTTAAAGGTTGGCTTTATGGAAGAGACATGAAAGATAAACCGAACTAACATGTACATGGAAAAAAAGAAAACAATCATGCCTAAGAATAAAACAAACAGCACACATCTCAACGCTGTTGAGTCAAAACTGACTCACTGAGAACCCACTAGTGGGTTTTCAGAGGTGATAAATAGCACAGGAGGAGACTGTCCATCGGTCTATCTTTTTCCTGTGGAGTCAATGGGGGATTTAAACCATCTGCCTTTGTGTTGGTGGTACAACTCCTTACTCATGAGGCCACCAGAGCTCCCTAAGAGTACAGTAAGGATAAACGCACAGAAGAATACAATGTTTACAACACAGCCTGCATGGCTGGCCTGCAAGGCTGACTGGAGAATTTCTGGGGTAGCCAGTAGGAGCTATCAAAAGTATGAGAAGCAGTAAATGACAAGATCTTTCTTGTGACTTAGGAAGAAGACTCTAGCCACAGTCTGATAAATAAATCTCAAAAAGAGAAGTGAGAGACTGCTGGTGGGGTGAACAATTATTAGGCTGTGACAAGAGCTGAGAAGCTACAAGTTCAGAAACCAGAATAATTTCTATTAGTAAGAAGTAGGTCAGAGTGGGTCTCAGAGGCCTTGTGGAGGTAGAATTAGTACAATCCACACCAACACCAAGGAGATGGAACGACACAGAGGCTGCAATAATGAGTTTGAGCATGGTGCAGACTGTGATGATAGAACAAAGTAGGGTGAGGTATTGATGTGGTGTTCACAGTGCCACTGTGAGCCCTATCCATTCAACAGTACCTTATCATGATACCTGATCACCATCATGATAAATGCAGAAAATATGGAAGGATTTCATTTTCATTGGACCCACAATCAATATCTATGGAACAGCAGTTAAAACACCAACAGTGCATTGCATTGAGCAAACATGTCCTATCCGGCTGGCTTCACTCATTGAAGCTGTCTGCCTCCCAAGTTTACAATGAAAAGAATACCGATGTGGTAGCAGGAGGAGATCCTAAAAAGCCAGGAGTGGATAAGTACCATGAAACATAAAGAGGAACAAGTCCAAGGAGGCCAGTGGTTTGGTGGTGCTTTAGGAGTAGAGGTTTGTTTGGGTGGGTAACCTCTCCAAAGACACATACAGAGAGAATTAAGTGAACACTTAATATTTGTCCCATGGTTGAAGTTTTCGGTAGTGGAACTTTGGAGACAACAGGGGTTTGGTGTCCTAGGCCAGGCATAGACCTCTCCTTAACCACTCAATTCTGGCCTGCTAGGAATAGTAATGACACAATCGTCTCTCAGAAAATTTCCTCTATTTGCTTATGTTCCTACTGGACCTCAAATGTCAAACAAGTTAACAACAACGCTGCTTAAAGCAGTCTATTTCATTGTATCTACAATCATACTTAAAGCTGGCCTCACCTCAACTGACCTTCTCCTTAAATGTAATCCAAATGGGAATGTCAGCCAAGCAGGAAAAAAAAGTGACTTCATGAAAGATTCTGGACAGTTACTCAAAGGAAGTAGAATGTTTTTGAGGGCCAATAAAAGCACTTTTATAAGCTGCAAAGTTTGAGGCAAGGGTGGAAAGTCTAATTCCACCTAAACTATAAATTACAAGCTAACCAGAGTAAAGGGGAAAGATAAAAGTAAAAATCGAGAATGTATACATTCATTTAATCTTCCTCTTCCCACTGAGGCCAGCATAAAGCTGGACTTTAAATGAAGAGTGCTATAGGAATCTGTAACATACTTGGCCCTGAGATTAAGGCTTAACATTTTCTCAAGGTTATAGAAGAGATAGGACTAGAAGGGCATGTGATTATCCAGGCTCCTTCTAAAACAAATCACAAGGGATCTGAGCCAGGTTCATGCAAGTTTGTTCAGGGAAGCTTCCTGCAAAGCAAGGAAGGTAATGGACTCTCCA